CTCTGAGCTGGCAAAATACATCTCTCGACTAACAAGCTCAGTGTACATTGGCGTACCTCCATCTGGATCAGAGTTCTGCGTTTGCTCCAGTTCCATTTTGCCTGCAGAGAAACAGCGCTTCTCGAAACCAAGACCTGCAGAAAGGTCAAAACATGCAAATTCTCTCCACTTGGTCGCTTCGAGGTCTACAGAACTCTTTGACTCGTGCGTTTGGGACAGCGAAAGCCATTCCTCAAAGACACTCGGCGATGTAGCCAGACATCTTTTTTAAGCTTTGGAGCCGTTGGCGCGCGCAATCTCACATGTGCCTCTTCAACGTGTCAAACTCGCGTTGTGTGTGCTTATTGAATCGCGTGTATGCATGTTATCTTTAGCATTCGGCTTACATTGGCCTTTTGAGCCGCTTCGATCTGTTCCGGGACAAGGGGTTGAGGCTACTGGCTCCTGAAGTTTCGGAGGGTGACATGAGGCTGCTTTTCCGAACAATTGCAGTCAAATTTCGAGATACTCATCATTCTCACCTTTTCTTACCGTCCAAGGAGAACAAAAGTTGAGACTGCCAACGTTACCATGGTCTCATCATGACCCCTTCTGCAATAGCGAAAGCAGGTTCATCTCCTTTTCCATGTGCCTCTGCAAATGTCACCGGCTCACTCGTAGTCGGTACGGGTAGATGTTAGCTCTGATCATCGCGTCTTCCAGACGATCATCCGTTCTTGGGGAGCCACCAGAGCCATCACCGCCTGTCCTCTGTCCCTAGCACCCAAGTCCCGCTGGACCTGGCTAATGCAGGTACCGTTGCTCATTGGGGGTCTTCTTGATTCATGGCCTTGTCCTGCAAGCAAAAGGGATATCCTGGAGTGTCTAGAGCGTGGCTGAGCATCGCAAAAAGGTCAAGTCTATGTAGCCTAGGGGAGGAAAGAAAACTCAGGACCTTGATCCTGAATGATAAAAAGATTTAGGCAATTTAGGATAAGTTTAGGATATCTTTTGCTGAGTTTATTTTTGACACCTTATTGTGTCGGTCTGAGTTTTCTTGCCCGAGGGTAGCCAAGACATTCAAGACTTTGATGCATTCTAGTCATGCACGAGTGTCAATGAATATTTTGTATTTTCACAACAGCAAATGACATTGCTCTGGCATTTTAGTTTGGTTGTCTAAGCTAGTTTTGACCCTGCATTCGTGTCTTGTTCTCAGGTTATGAGATGTTTTATACCATCTCCACATCATTTCGCTTCGTTCAATAACTCTTGTGCCGTGCAGCTCACCGCATGTAATAGTGCATATGACCCATGAAGCGATATGCAGAGTAAAATGAAGACGAGCAACCTTGTGGAGGAGAAATGTCCAGCACAATTTTTCTGTTTTGGTGGTGTTTCTTAGTGCCCAAGCCAGCCAGTAAAAGAAATAGTTATTCTTGGATTAGTTACTGAGTAAGCGAAACTGAAGACGCAACCAACAAGGACAAACAATGGTTTTGAACAATAGGAGTTACCCAGTTTGTGGCTGGTGAGTGCTTCATTTTTTCGGCTTTTATTTCCTTAAGCAGCAGTCTTACTTGGTTATACTCGTCAAATGACTGCTTTCTTTCTCTGACAAGAGCCGCCGTCTTTGCTGACTTGATTTTGTTTGCCCTGCCGCATGGAACATTCCCGCAAGTGTCTTTTTAGCTCAATCTCTCTGAGCCTCGTTGACTTCTTCACTTCTTCACCTCGCGAGTGAGACAATTCGCATTCATATACTTTCTCAAACTCGATTCATCGGTTTTGACGACGTTGCCATGTCCATCTTGAGCTCTGCGGGGTTCGCACCGCCTCAAGCGGTGGCCTTGCTGGTGAGCCTCACATCACATCACAAACTCCATAAAACTCATATTCAGCCTCGTCTTGTGAGTTTATTGAAATGTGCTAACATATATGTACAAAGGTTGTCTATTGTCTCGTCTACGTCATCCCTCTCTACTTCTCAGCTGCGACAAGGCCTTCGCCCACTCGCTCTAGAGATGCTCCTGAGGCTATCCGCGCACGCATCTTTGTCGTCTCACTCTCGACGGCAGCATGCTCCCTCGTGACGCTGTACCTGCTCTCATCTCATGGCGCAATTGCCGTTGAGAAGCCCTTGCATTTCATGGGCTACTGGCCCCCAGGGTTCATCGATGCTGCTCGTGCGCTCTGGCTCACGGCCCTGCTGTTTGCAGGCCCCTTGTATGAATCTCTCGTCATCGATGGCGCGGCTCATCAATGGCTTCGTCTTCAGCCTCTGAGGGATCTGTGGACTGACTGGCCAACCTGGAGAAACATGGTAGCGGTACGTTTGTCCTGAAACTGTTTGATCTCGCTGTCGATTCCTTCATAATTATTCCCCCCTTGTCAATCTCTTATCCCCACAGTTATCTCCTCTTGAGCCTCCTCGTCATCTCACCGCTCCGCTATCCATGTTGACTAATTCTTCTGAAGGGTCCTATTACCGAAGAGTGCTTGTTCCGTTCTGCTGGTGTCCCACTGCTCCTCCGTTCTGGAGCCAGCCTAACTGGCACTATCTTCATGTCGCCGCTCATCTTCGGCCTGGCTCACCTTCATCACTTCTATGAGTTCCGTATCACTCACCCACGGACTCCTCTCCCTGTAGCTATCGCACGGTCATTACTTCAGCTGTCGTACACGTCCCTGTTCGGAGCATATGCCACTTTCTTATTCCTAAGAACTGGTAGCTTGCTGGCTGTTGTGCTCGTGCATACGTTTTGCAACTGCATGGGCCTCCCACGTCTTTGGGGCCAGCTTGATCCTCACTGGCTGCCAGAGGGTGATCCGTCCTCAGCCTCGTCTAGAAAGATGTGGACTATTGTTTATTACGTACTTTTGGTGGGCGGCTTAATTACTTGGTGGCAGAATCTGTACTCGTTGACCGAGACACCGATGGCGCTGGCCAAGTTCTAAGATTATCTAATTCATGCATTTCACAATCGAATTGTTGAATATCGTATGCACAAATGAGATGGTCGTCTCACAGACCATGCTACGGCCCCATCTGAAATGTCAAGCTAAATGACCTACATGAGCACTGGGGCTAGCAGTAGCCTCATTGTCTGTGCATTTAAACAGTATTCAGGTGACGGAATAGTCAACAGACTTGAGTCGTCATCTGGTCTACTAAAGTCCGGGAGAACCGAAAGTTGTTTCAGGATGGAATGAGTAGAGCTTTTATTTCGTTTACAAAGCCTGACTAGGTATCTAATTATGAGGCCGCTACCTGGAAATCAGGCAGTGATCCTGGCATCGAGAAGTCATCACTGTCATTGCTTCTCGTTCCTCGTCGATGCCGAACCGTCCCTCCGGCTCCTCTATCTCTAATCTCTGCGTCTCCTCCTCGCCCACGTACCTCGTCTCGGTGATCCCGGCCAGCATCATTACCCCTAGATCGACCGATAGATTCGCTTCTCTCGGTCGAAGCATCCTCGGGACCTCTTGTGTTCTTCTTTCTCGGCCAGAGACTTGGAAGGGCAATTTCCTGGAATCGAGGCTCAACAGCTCGCTCATCAAACCAACGGTGAAGGCGAGCTTCGACAAGTTGAGCAATCTTGGGTACGTTGTGTAGTTTAGAGCGACTACCGAGAAGGCTTCGAATCTCAAAATCCAGTCTGTAGTCGTCCAGAAAATTGAAGATCATCCTCGTGGGTGTCGAATGAGAGGGGTTGCTGGGAATGAAGGAGATGGAAAGGGTGCCACTGAATCTGATCACAGAAACAGCCAGTTCCACGGGCAGAACCGCAGATAGCTTCTTGGGGTAGTTTAGGATAAGTTTTGTCCTTACGGCCAGAGTAAGCATGTCGCTCAGGTCGACGTCCATACGCGCCTGGAGACGCAGGCCATCTCTTGCTGCCGTTGCCGGATCAAACTTCTTTCCAGGAGCAAGGCTCAATCCATCTTCATCGACAGGGATAATACGGCAATTGCTCAGGATCGGAAAGTCTTCTCCCAGACTCAACTCTGTGACCCGGATCTCGTCAATGAAATCTGGCCTTGAATCTCCGTTCAATGCCTTAGAAAGTGAATCAAGAATGGCATCATCATGCTGAGCATCGCTTCGGAATTGAGCAATCGTTTGTGCAATGAGAACATTAAACCAATCAAGACTTTCGGGCTGATGGCTGTCGACATTGTAGTACGCTTTACTCAGGATCGATCCAATGGTAAGTGTTGGAGGGTTCCTGAGGACAGTGGACTTTTTACGGCTGAGAGATCTGTCCTGAGATCTATCTCCACGATTTGCCGGGCTCCTGACACTTAGTAATGAGCGTTTATGAGCAAGAGTTCTTGACCGTCTCTCGGTAGCTCGTAGCGAAGCTGTGACGTCTGCTGAAGGGGGATCGCCGAAGATGAAGAATTTTATGAATGCGGCCAGTACCAGAACCACGGAGAGCTGTCCGACTATGAGACCTTGAGTAAAGGATAAACTATCAGGGTATCAGTCAGCTTTGTTTAAGGACTTGTCATGATGCAGCGTTCTTTATTCACTTACGTCGGCTCTATCGGCCGGGGACAGGTATCTGCTTCCATGGTAGCAGCGTAAGGTGTTAGATGCTACTGAGGCCACTGCGCTCTGTTTATGCTAGAAGCTCCAAGCTGAGATTATTAAGAAGACATAGACACCATTTCAGCTCTGATGGGTAATGATCTCACTGATGTCACCGAGAGCTACCATGATGAAGGTTGAGGTTGGTAGCGGGTAGCTCTTGTATTATGTAAGGCATCCAGGCCAGACTTCCAAGGTTGTGGGGCACTCACCTACAACACCCACCTACCTACCTACGTTAGACTACAGTGACAGTGGCATCTTAGAGGTCTCCCTCACTAACAACAACAAGTTCTCTGAATCACAGCCCTGAATACCACTGAAGTATTTGGTATCTCTCACTGCACGACGTCTACACTCACAAGGACCTCATATAGCAGCCCGGGAATAACACGTTACGCGGCGCCGGTGAACCCCAACCATCAACATGGACGTCGCCCAAGCAGTATCTGGGTACATCAATAAGGTGGTTATGACGAGCGATACGTCGTCTGCCAAGATGAAAATTCTCCTACTCGATAGAGAAACAGTTTCTATCGTCTCGACTGCGGTCACACAGTCTTCTCTCCTCAACCATGAGGTCTATCTCATCGACCGTCTGGACAATGCCGCGCGTGAGAAGATGCGACACCTACGATGTCTATCTTTCGTGCGGCCATCGCCGGAGTCGATTCAGCTACTCATAGATGAGCTTCGTGATCCCAAATATGGCGAGTATCACTTGTATTTCACAAATGTTGTCAAGAAGTCGTCCTTGGAACGCTTGGCTGAGGCTGATGACCATGAGGTGGTCAAACTGGTCCAGGAGCACTTTGCTGATTACAATGTCATCAACCCTGATCTCTTTTCTTTCAGCTTTACTCTTCCGCAACAGAGAATCTGGGCAGGGGGGCCTGATACATGGAACCCTGACTCCTTACAGCGATGTTCAGAGGGCTTGGTTGCTGTCTTACTCTCACTCAAGAAGAAGCCCCTCATCAGATACCAGAAGACAAGCCCCCTGGCAAAGAAGCTCGCGTCAGAGGTCCGATATTTGATGACACAAGAGGATTCACTGTTTGACTTCCGAAAAGTTGATACTCCTCCCATTCTGCTTGTGTTGGATCGCCGGGAAGATCCGGTGACGCCACTGCTTACACAATGGACATATCAAGCCATGGTCCATCATCTCCTGGGTATCCAGAATGGGCGCGTCGATCTGAGCGATGTTCCAGATATTAGCCCCGAGCAAAAGGAGATCGTTCTATCACAGGATCAGGACCCATTCTTCAAAAAGAATATGTTTCTGAACTTTGGCGACCTTGGAGGCAACATCAAGGAATATGTTGGCCAGTTCCAGTCGAAAACCAAGAACAATGAGAACATCGAGTCAATATCGGATATGAAGCGATTTATCGAAGAATATCCAGAATTCAGAAAGCTCTCTGGCAACGTCAGCAAACATGTTACCCTCGTATCGGAACTTAGCAGACGTGTAGCTGCCGATAACCTCCTGGAGGTTAGTGAGCTGGAACAAAGTCTGGCTTGCAACGACAACCACGGGACTGATGTAAAGGTATTACTTGTCCTCTTGTATGAACCTTGAGCATGAGCTGACACGATTCATAGAATATTCAGCGACTCATTCAATCGCCGAACGTTACACCAGAAAGCAAGGTTGGCCTTGTAGCTTTGTACGCTCTCCGCCATCATAAACATCCTTCCAACACGTTGCCCATGCTTCAGGACCTCCTTATAGCTGCTGGAAACGTATCTCCGCGAGAGGCAGATTTGGTCAGCAAAGTGACGGCGTATCACAACTCCCTTCAAGCGTCACAGTCTCAGGGCGGAATTTCAGAAATCTTCGAATCGGCAGGCATTTTCTCCGGTACTGGCAGCCGCTTCAAGGGTCTCAAAGGAGTAGAAAACGTCTATACGCAACACAGCCCATTGTTGGAGACTACCCTACAGAACTTGATCAAAGGACGACTCAAGGATCAGCAATACCCCTTCGTCGAAGGTGGTGGCACAACCAAGGACAAACCTCAGGACATAATCGTATTCATGGTTGGAGGTGCTACTTATGAGGAAGCCAAGATGATTGCAGAATTGAACGCATCGAGTCCAGGCGTTAGAGTAGTCTTGGGAGGTACAACGATTCATAACTCGGCGACCTTCTTGGAAGAGGTGGATGATGCTGTCAGTTCATGGCCAGAGAGCCGAGGTAGGAGGTAGAGATTATGATCATATGAGAGATAGTATCAATTACCGCGACGATTTTGAGCCATGTTAGATCAAATACAGATAATAATGTCAACCATTGAATTGTATCTAAATTTATTACTGTCTAGTGCAAGGATGTATCATGATGGAGTGCTGATGTGGGTGAGGGAACGCCAATTTGAAGGCTGATTGGATGAAATGCATTAACTAAACCCGTAGACTATGTACTTTCTGGTACGAACACCCCAAAATTTGGACATCGATCCCGTCATGAGGGCAAATTTTACAACGACAACAACATGAAATGCGTGCGCTACTAAGACCTAGGGCAGCCGCACTACGGCATCAATGGACAATTACAAGACGGCGGTACCTTGCGACTGTTTCCGGTGATTTACAGTACGTCTCAGCAAACAATATCTCGTCGTCATGACACCCATCGCATCGCATCGCAAATCATCACTGACACCCCGCTCTAGACCTTACGATGTCGTCGTAATCGGAGGCGGCCACGCGGGCGCTGAAGCATGTGCTGCTGCTGCAAGATCTGGCGCAAGGACAGCCTTGGTCACGCCGAAAATCGAAAATTTGGGAACGTGTTCCTGTAACCCGAGTTTCGGCGGCATCGGCAAGGGCACAATAATCCGAGAGGTCGATGCGCTCGATGGATTGGCGGGGAGAATTATCGACAAATCAGGCGTACAGTTTCATACTCTGAATCGGCGAAAAGGTGCTGCTGTCTGGGTTCGTCGACTGCTCGGATTCGTTGTTGGCAGAATTAGTGACTAACGAGACTCGCAATAGGGTCCCCGCGCTCAAATTGACCGAGAGCTCTACAAGAAACACATGAAGGACGAACTCTCTTCGTATCCCAACCTATCGATCGTGCTCGACAGCGTGTCCGATATCGTTACCAAGCCCCAGGAACTGTTCGAAGGCGCATCAAGTTGCATTGCGGGCGTGCGCCTGGAGTCCGGCCAAACTCTCCCAACAAAAAAGGTTATCATAACCACAGGGACATTTCTCGGAGGCGAAATACACATCGGGCTGACCGCGTATCCAGCCGGTCGACTCGGCGAGGCGGCGACATTCGGGCTGAGCAAGTCACTGCGTGATGCGGGCTTCAAGCTGGGACGCCTCAAGACCGGCACACCCCCCAGAATCGACGCAGCGAGCATAAACTATGATGTGCTGGAGAAGCAGTATGGCGATGACCCACCAACACCATTCAGTTACCTCAACGAGACTGTGGCGATTCAGGAGCAGATGACTTGCAGTGTTACGTACACAACGGAGGATACTCACCGGATAGTGCGTGAAAACCTTGATAAGACCATACACATTCGAGAGACAGTCAAGGGCCCACGCTACTGCCCCTCTCTCGAGTCAAAAGTCATTCGCTTCGCTGACAAGGAACGACACATCGTTTGGCTCGAGCCCGAAGGTTTGGACAGCCCAGTCATCTACCCCAATGGTTTGTCCATGACAATTCCTGCAGAGGCGCAGGAGGAGGTCTTGCGCACGATCCCAGGCCTCGAGAACTCAAAAATGCTTCAGCCCGGGTACGGTGTTGAATACGACTACATCGATCCACGTGGTCTGAAGTCAACACTGGAGACAAAAGCCATCAGCGGCCTGTACCTGGCTGGTCAAATCAATGGCACGACTGGGTATGAGGAGGCTGCCGGTCAAGGTGTCCTTGCGGGCATTAACGCCGGTCGCTCGTCTCAAGGCTTCCCACAGGTTTACCTCTCAAGAGGGGATGGGTACATTGGCATCATGGTGGATGACCTTATCACGAAAGGTGTCACTGAACCTTACCGGATGTTTACCTCGCGAAGTGAATTCCGCATGGCATCACGTGCTGACAACGCTGATGTTCGACTGACATCCAAGGGCTATGGGTGGGGAGTCATATCGGAGAAGCGCTGGAGTCGTTTCCGTGATGAGAGACAGCAGATTGATGACCTTACCAAACTATTACAGTCTGTATCGTTGAGCCCCTTACAGTGGATCGAAAAGGGGTACCATATGAAGCGCAACACTCAGCGTCGCGATGGTATAGATGTCCTCCGTCTCTCGAACCCTGAAACACGCGTCGACGTCGATCGGCTTGCACCAGTCATCCCAGGCGTAATGGACTTTCCACCTCGCGTACGACGTCGTGTTGAAATCGAATCATTTTATGCCCCGTATATCAAAATCGCCGAGTCGGAGCGCAAGCAGCTAACAAACGATGAGCGCGTCAAGATACCCCTCGATCTCAACTATGACAATATCCCTGGGCTTGCAATGTCAGAAAAGGAGGCGCTCAAGGCAGCGAAGCCAGAGAACCTCGCACAGGCGAGGCATGTCGAGGGCGTGACTCCGTCGGGCAGTTTACGTCTACTCGCTCACGTTCGTCGAAGGCCCGAAGTATACTTGTTGGAGAAGGATTCTTCACGTGGGCGCCGGACACAAAGGACGAATAAGAATCGAGGCGGTGTATAGGTTAATTGGGTTCAATCGCATATAAGTGGCGTTTCATTGATCAAGGTCTCTGGGAGGGAACAAGAGAGGTTTTAAATAGATCTTTCAAAAGTCAAATATTTCTGCCACAATCTTAGCATTATCCTCTCATCAGGAATCCGAGTCCGAAAGTTCGAATATGCAGCTTAAGATTTGTTCTATCATCGACGCTAGTGTCGTACATGAAGGGGGTATATGCAAGATTTTCAAGCTCAAGCTCAAGCTCAAAGTTCTGTTCGAACCTTGCTGAACTTTGTCTCGTTTGTTCGAATTTTGTCTTTTCGTTCAAACCTTGCGTTTCCTGCTTTCTGGATGACCCTAGGCCCGGGCCGCGTTAGGTGAAGCCAAATTTGTGGCCTCTTCTGTTACTATCGTGGTCTGCAGCTTGATAGACTTTGAACGACGATATCAAATCAGGGTTTTTTAGAGTTTTGCTTATTAAGGATTTTCACTGCATCCTTTGTGTAGATATAGCTTGCACCGCTCCAAATGGTGGTAGCAGCAACGACGTATCTGGGTTCCTTTAGAATGAGAGTTATGGTAAGTCAGTATGGTTTAACTTACTGCATGACTGTCAGGGCAGATGATAAGTCGGTGCTCAAAAGGGGCGCAGCAGTCGTGACTCCGACGAGCGCAAGTTGCAAGAAGGTGTTGTACTTGCTGATAGTCGTGGGGCGAACTTCAGCTGATGGAAGTGAAAAGTCCCAATAGCGGGCAAATGTCTTTGGTGGCGGGAGAGAAATCCATCGGTAGTAAATTGCAGAAATAGCGAGGCCGACATCTCGGCCCAAGATGATGCCAGCGCACCAAACTTTTACACATTAGCTCTTGAGTTATCAAGGGTCACCAGGGAGCATGAACGCACTCGGCAATGCGCCCTTGGCAGCCAGACAAATGGTCAGAATCGTCATGAGAGTTTTGTCTGCCATTGGATCAATGACTGTGCCCACGACTGTCTTGCTGTCCCAGCGACGCGCAATCCATCCATCGAGGAGATCTGTTACGCCCGCATAGGCAAAGAGGCCAACGGCCCATGCGTGCTGATCGTGAAGAACGAGGTAACCAATGACCGGGGCAGCGATGAGACGTGTGAAGGTTAGGATATTGGGCAGCGTGTAGATGTCTTCGTGCAGGACGGTAGCAGGGCGTGACGGCTTGGTGTCGTCATCGTGCTGTATCACGGGTTGAGACCTATGTACAATTGGTTAGTACAATACAATCAATCGGTAGCTGGACATTGTACTCACCCAGGAGGCTTATCCTCTAGCTTTTTCTGTTGGGGCTTATGATCCAACCATGACTGGGCCTTTGTGAAGAAGAGACATCGCGGAGTTGACGCTATCATGGGTCTGGGCGCGGACCTCACGAGAGCAGGTATAGACCTCGTGGGACACCTCGTCGTCGCCCGCCAAGCCAATCTTGCAGAGAGACTCATCTCTGCACTTGTCTTGTCCTTTTCGAAAACGGGGGCTGCCCAAACCCTCTCACCAGTCGCTCAATTACTCCGGGGAAGGTAAAATCTTGTTTGGTTATTCTGGCAATGTAGTTGGAGCAAAGTTGGGAAACCCCGTTTAGACCCCCGGACCCCGCTTATCTCATGTCACGATTTGGCGATATCGAGATGCCACCAACTTCGCGATCTCAGGTACATCATGATATATAACTGAATCTCCTATTGTTTCAATCATCCATTCATTACGCTTATCAATTTCAGAACATCACATTTCATAAATATCGGAAGAATCTGCCTTTCCAATACCTCCTTGTTTTTGAGTTTGTCTCAAACCCTGTTGGTAGAGAAGCCAGTATCATTGGTTGTGAAACTCTTCAGTAAAATTGTAGTTTGTGATGAGCAAAGGCAAATCGGATAATTAACGTATCTAAGCATCTCTTGCTCAAATCAGAGTTTCACAGGGTTATACCTTCTACATCTGCAAATTTGAGTTAAGATTGCCCACGTTGCAATTGAAGATGTTCAGAGAACAGAAAACATGGGCCTACCCTAAAGTGTTGGGTCCTGCTGACATGGACTATGCCAACTGCTCAGTTCTCGGGGGAATAGCAAGCTGGATCGAGAGGTCCTCATACCTGGACATTTTGGGGGGGCATTGTGAACTCCCCGAAAATTGGCCTGGCACCATAGCCGTACTAGGTGACAAGGACGGACAGCCAAATCTGGATGCAGACGTGTCGGTGGCTTCTCAGAAGAGCGCTCCAGATTACAATACGACTATGATCATTGACACGGTGCCTACCTACTTAGGTATTCACGACACTTTAGTTGTCGCGGGGTACTTTTCGTATCATGGTCATTCTGGCGTCCCGCATTGCACCGTCGTAGTACAAGTAGCGCCGTGTAAGTGGTTGGGGTTGACAAGAGGCGCAACTGGGAAAAGCTGGTGGCTGTTTCACAGACGTCACTATGTTCCCAGATTTTAGCTATTCAAAATAATTAGACCATAGTCAGGCCGCTAAGAACGAAAAGAACCACGCAGATGCCGAAGGGACTGATATGGATCGTCTGCCAAAAAAATGGCTCTGGCGTGAAAGACTTGACAATCATCGTCAGGGTCGAGATCGAATTGACAGGACTAGACTGAACTGTTTAGGGCGTAACTAACTAGCGCTAGCGCTGAGGAACTGGCAGATCAATCCGAAGAATGTGACGCGGTTCCACGTGACCCCGCGTTGTCACCTTCCACGCCTCTTGGAGAGACAAGGATCATAGACAGGGATATCAAATCGATAACTTAACTCAGACGACACCCAAAACATTAAACCATAACTCCAGATTTTAAAAATCAACTTCAAACCGTCGCCCGAAACTCAGTCGATCTGGCCAAACTCTTGTCCTCGAAACCGCTGGAGTCAAAAGGCAAAGATGGCTGGGTCCCGAGAGGATCCCGTCGAATTGGGGAGCGACATGGACGAAGATGAAGCGCTACGCTATGCTATTGCCCTTTCACTCCAGGAACAGGAGGAACAGGGAGACCAGAGTTCGCAGATCCCGAGCGCCTCAACCTCGACATCCCACCGGAACGGGACTGGCTCGGGCGGGGCCTCCCTGGGTTTGCTCTCGCTTGATCGTAAGAAGATGGAAGAGGAAAGGTTGCAGAGGTTAGCCAAGCGGCGCCGCTCGCCGGAGGACGAAAGAAGTGTTGACGAGGTCCCGCCAGCAAAGAAGATGACACCATCCGAACCTTCCAGGCCTGTAACCGCAACAGCAACGGCACATGTGTTACCGAGCTTGGTTCCCTACCCCAAAGGTGCTATCAAAAGAACTTGGGCCAAAGGGTATCCGCGGACTTCCGATGATATCAAGATCGAAGAGGTGTTTCAGAAGGACAAGTTGGAGCTTGCTCTTCTAAGCTCGTATCAGTGGGATGATGAATGGCTCATGTCCAAAATCGATCCGAGAAAGACCAAGCTGTTGCTCCTGGCATTCGCCGATAGTGAAGCCCAGGTGTGTATCAATGACCAGTCCTGACTCGTTCGGGATATCCCTCGCTGGACCCCTCAAATGGACAAGACTAAGAGGCTGACGCCGAAACCTGCCGCAGAAATCAGAGATGCTATCAAATGCGCCACCGGGAATCAAGTTCGTCTTTCCGGCAATGAATGGGCCTGGGGCTATGCATTCCAAGCTCCAGTTGCTAAAGTACCCTGACTATCTTCGAGTTGTGGTCCCAACTGCCAATCTCGTCCCATATGATTGGGGGGAGACTGGCGTCATGGAGAACGTTTGTAGCTGAACCCAGGCGATTTTGATGCCATCCGTGACTGGATCGCTAATGATTTCTCCAGATGGTCTTCCTGATCGACCTCCCTCGTTTGGAGGACCCCGCGACCTATCGGCAAACCGCGTTCAGTACCGAGCTCGGCCGATTCTTGTCAGCAACTGGTGCTGGTGAGGGCATGGTCAGCAGCCTCGCTAACTACGACTTCTCACAAACAAAGCACCTTGGCTTTGTGTACACCATGTAAGCCTATCAAGACCTTGAAGATTGGATCATGCATGGTCTGATGATCATCATGCTTGACCCGCATGAACGATGCACTGATACTAGATTCTAGCCCTGGTGGACATCAAGGAGATTCCTCAAAGCGAATAGGTCAGTGCAAGTTTCGATGAATGTTGTGCAACAACGGCTCATGTCATATAGGATACAGTGGGCTGGGCACCACTGTGGCTGCTCTCGGGCTAGCCACTGACGAACCAATCGACGTGGATTTTGTCGTGGGTACCATTAAAGCCGCATACCAGTCTAAAGAGCATTGAATCTAACCACGGATGAGCCCTTACTCCAGTGCGCCTCTCTTGGATCGCTAAACTACGACTTGGTTGGCGCAATCTACAATGCATGTCAAGGTGAGGAGACGCCGATACCGTGTACCCCTCTCCTCTGTTTACCACACACATAACATTCAACTGTAATGGATGTGGACTGACGAGTGGTGAACTGCAGGAGATGATGGCATGGCCGAATACAAGTCGAGAATAGGCCGAACGGGCGCAGCATCCAAAAGTAAGACGTCAAACCCGTGGCAGAAGAAGCTAAAGGACCGTTTCCGAATATATTTTCCGACGGATGACACAGTTGGTAGAAGTCGTGGTGGGCGTAACGTAAGTTTACCTGGAGCATGGCACTGCATGGATGGATGATCTTGGTTGCGCTGGAGAATCCTCACATGCGACAAGAAAGACGCAATAAAAAGCCAACGCTAACTTGTGAGCGCGCTGATGCAGGCTGCGGGCACCATCTGTATCCAGCCCAAATGGTGGCGCTCGCCAACCTTCCCCACTGAGCTGGTGCGGGACTGTGTTAACACCAGAGATGGGCTCCTGATGCACAGCAAGATGATCATGGTATCACAGACGCAAGCGGGAAGTCAATTGCAAACGCGTCCGCAAACGCGACCGGAGCCGCGACACCACAATTCAAGGCCGGCTGCCGCGGAGCCGAAAACGGAAGAGATGTCTCTTGGCTGGGTCTACATTGGCAGCGCAAATCTGTCAGAAAGCGCGTGGTAAGTGAGACCCTGACCCTGCCCCCAATCGAACCCCCTCTTTTCTGTAAGACATGGGGGAAACTTGAGACAACAAGGCAGCAAGCGAGCGAACATCAACGGCCAGTGCGATGGTGCCGTTGTTTAGATAGTGTAGCGCGCTACTAGCTGCCTCTTGAGGAGAATTTCAGCATGACTGGCACGAAACTGTGACGATTTCATGAATCTAACGCTGACGGTTGCGGCTACGTTGTGCCATACAGGGGCCGCATTGTCAAGGACCGAGCGACAGGACAGCCAAAGATGAGTTGTCGCAATTGGGAGAGCGGTGTTGTCGTGCGAATTAGCAACCCCAAAAACAGCAGCACCGTCTCCGCCAGCTTCAGCACCAGCGCCAGCGCCAGCGCTGGTGCCAGTTCCAGCACCAAGGTCAAGGCGGCAGAGGGCCAGGCACAGTCATCGGTGCGGGCGGGGAAGATATCGGCGGAGCCGGACAAGGGATGTGATACGAGCCAACACAATCATCACCACTACCAGATGCAGAAGCAGAATCGGAAACACAAGCAGGAGGAAGGGCTCACGGACACAGATGCACACGCAGATTCAGACATGATGAGCGGCGCTGTTTTCGAGGGCACAGTCCCAATACCAATGCGACGACCAGGTCGACGCTATCGTGAGGGTGAAGAGCCCTGGTTTTACAGTGTGCAGGGCTGATCGACCAGGGCGCGTTTGTTAGCCATTTTTGGAGCACTAAGCGATCAAAGATGAAGAAGAAGTGCAGAAGAAGCACTGAACAGGTCATAGAAGTCGAGGACGGCAGTTGTGAATAACCCTGTCATGTCAGTTTGATATTGCGGTATTCTAAGATGGATTGGATGGGCGTTGGCCTCTGCGCAGTACCGTATCAGCCGTATGTACATATCTGGCAATCTGCAGATGCTCACGTTTCGGATTCGGCATCGTTGATCAGTCGACGCAACGGTATTGCGATGCGGACATGTGAACAGGACAGGTTGATAGCAAGGTCGCGCTCGTTTACCGATGATAGTGATACCACCATATATCCCGTAAGGTGGTTAGTTTAGTTACTATAGAATGGCTCTAGGAATTAACGACCCAGGTGTTTGCCAGGTCCAGGAATATACATGGAGATGAGGAGACGTAATGAGTTGATTCTCTGATGAGTGTTAGTATCGTGGCGATGGGATGGGATGCGATTGGGATGCGACAGGGTACAGCCGATGCCAAGATGGGAGTTGGATCATTTCAAACGGAAGACGGAGGCTCGACGAGCATCAGTATCTCGAACTGGGGGTTTGGGGTTGGATTTACAAATCAAATCATGAAGCCCAGGACAAGGTATCTCGGTACTTGGCGGGCTGACAGTAAAACCCATGCGAATGGTCTCGAGCGATGACACACGATTACAGAAGCCAATTGGGGGATCCCACCCAATGGGAGGCTGAGTGCCGCCTCGTCAGTCGGCTCTCCCACCTGTGCGTGCGTTCTTTCCCAGTCCCTCCCCCCTCAAGACAAAACTTCACAAAAGCAGCAGAGAACAAAGGGCAAGGACAAGGGACAAGGGACAAGTGACCAGGTAGCCAGGGTGTGGCAGCCCAGAGGAGAAAGAGTGATGGGCAGAGTAGCCAATCACGGTAAGAGGCAGAGATGGCCTGCAGCACGGCAGGTGCGACAGCCAATCAAAAGCCCCCAAAAGGTACATGGGAAGAGGAACGGGTGGAGAGCACTTAGGGCGCCCCAGAGACCCATAAGACAGGCACCAAAGCCAATGCCGGAGGTCGCTGCATACCATGTCCATGGACTTGACCATGTTCGTTTTCATTTTCATCATTTTTCAGGTCCATGTCCATGCCTAAGACATGGGCTCCTGCTATTTTTTCTGTTCCTGTTTGCGGGAGTAAGGTAGCAGTGTCGGTCCGGGGAGCTGTTTGCGCGCGCGCGTTCCACAGTTATGGAATCAATTAATCAATCTGGGCAGCAGCGTCGCGTCGCAGATTCGACATGACACGGGAGGCGGTGTTTAGTCTAAATGCCGATAAGGCACAGCAGAGCATCAAACACGGGCACCCATGGCATGGCAGTTGAGGTAACATGATGTGAGATGACTTTCTTTACATGGAATACGCCATGATATCCATCCGCATCAGACTCCGTAACTCAATTGACGCGCGGCAGGATAAGGCACGTTGAGCTAAGGCAAGGCGAGCAAGACAAACCAGACCCGGGCAGACATCCAGACAGCTCGCCTAGGACTAGACGAGAAAGGCCAAAATACAGGGATCAGCCAGGCACACACCAACACCAAGCCCAAGCCAACCCAACACCAGCGAGATTTGCATATCCAACGGGCGAAGGAGAAAATCTGGAATCACTAACTAATCGCACTAACTAATCCTCTGCTACTTCGGCATCTTCCTGTGATTTCATTTTGATACAGACCTACCTACTCAAGATTGGAGCAAAGCCAAGAGAAATGGATAAATCGGAATTCCAAGCCAGGGGGCTCCTTGTTTTACACCCCCAACAATAGAAGAGCCGACTCAAGAGTGAGTGATACTGTCATGGACTGACTGCTCTGCTGTAGAGAGGAGCTCAGCCCAGAAGTGATGTGAGTGAGCTGTGGTGGTTGTTGGTTTATGGGGCTGTGGTGCTTTGGCCCTTCTCTCTTTCTCCAATGTGGATAACAGAAATCATCCAAAAAAGAAAGAAGAGGGGTTGATGAGTGTCAAAAACAGCACAGACGAAAAGTGATGATGAACATCCAATGACATGGCGGCTCAAACGAGTTCGCATATGATGGTGTAGAATGTCAATCCAAGATGACAACAAAGAATAGAATGGCATTGTTGGAGAGGGAGGATTTAATGATTCTGCAGCGACAAATCAGACACATCACATACATACCACACACATATCGAGATAGACGAAAATCATAACTGGAGGCATTGTGATGGAATATTCTCAAGAAAGAACGGCATAGTGCGTCACTGATGCATTAAGGAGGGTGAAGGGAGGAGTAGGAGGGGTGCAGGGGGTGAGGGATGTGTCCCCAGGCGTGTCTCTATGAAAGCTAGAACCACCATCAAAGCACTTCTCATGAGGAGAGGTACCGCCTTCAGGGACGAGGTGAGGTAGTTCCAGCTGGGATGGGACGGGGGGATGGGGATGTAAGTTTTCATTGCATTAAGCTTCCCGTCGATTTGGAGAAGGGCTGAACAGCTCTAGCTAGATCTGAATCTTAGAATTTAGATAGTGAAGAGCTTCTTTTGAATTGAAGGAAGCCTCTTGAGAGAATGATTCGCCCAAGCCCTGGCTCGAATAGAGATCGAATTCTTCTAGAGTGAGACACAGACATACAGACAGACCTGGACAGGAGGGAACCCCAAAGATGATGGCAGGTACCTAAGTGACCTCGACACAGCTCGTGGTCTCTCGGCCGCATACAAACAGCCCGCAACTGCCTCTGGAGTAGACCCGGACAGCCACCACCCACTTCAAGAGCAGGTGTGAGACACCACTACATGCACGTACCGATACGGTAGGTAGAGGTACTTCGGCACATGCTCCGACAGCGCAATCAAGGGGCTTTGCTGGGGTATCTGTTCAGTCAGCGGAAGTAACTGCCCAATGGTGGATTCAGGACGTTTCCAATGGGCCTTGACCCCTAGGTGAGTTAGTAAGTAAGGTACCTACCTCGTAGGCGGGCGGGCGGGTACGTACCTTTCTCATACCCTGCCGTGCATCTTTATGATCTTTTTGCTGCCCTACCGACTCATTACCACCTGTATGGACTGCCGTACATAGGTACTGACTGACACTGACCCGACCTATCCCCAGTATCCCTGGAGAAAGAGATGGCCGCGGGTACCGTAGGGAGGAGGTTAGGACTGGGTATCCGTACACCTTACCTGCTTGCAGTTCCATTTCCCTCCCTCTCCTTCCTAGGAGGTCCAAACGACATGGATGGCAATGGCAATGTGAGTGAATGACACGCGTGGATATGGAACGGCATCTAAGCTGAGGGAAAGGCCGGATACAGACACTACCCAGGATGTGGTTGACGCAGACGGGAGCCAGCCAACAACCTAGACTAAGTGCCAGGCAAGCCAGGCCCCAGATTCAAGCCCAGGGAATTACTAGGTACCTACCTGCTCTTTCCTAAATCCAAGCTTGAGTCCATCCATCTATGCCATGGAAGCGCAAGTGCAACTAGCCTTTAGCCTGCCCTGTAGTGTAGATTGCCTACTTGGGTAAGTGCATTGCATTGCATTCGACTACATTACATCCAAGCCATCCACTTACACCTCAACTTCACTTCACCACATTTCATCCACATTGCTTGCTCTCTTATTCTTTATAATTTTCTTCTTCGTTTTGCCGACCATCTATTGTTGACTTTGACGAACTGGCTTTCACAATCATTGCCACCTGGCGCCTAAACAGGATACAATTACGCCTCGAACCAATTACATCGTGCCCTCATTCTCTCAGATACTCTTCACCCAAAAGTTTATGGTGAAATAAAGAAACAGCTCACGCTCTCCAATACGCCCGCCCTTTCGCCACAACTGGAATACTTTCGTCTTTGCAAATAGCCTTTTGTTCAAGGCCCTCGTGATACCCATTTGCACGCACTGTTGAGTGCAATTATACATTGTCGACTTTGCTCCCCCCCCACTGTTCGGTGCGGCTTCTGTCACGATAAGAGAGAAGGACCTATCAGCTTCAGTGGCTGGATTCAAAGCTGGAATCAAGCTTTCAATTGCTTGCCACCTACAGCGACCTGGTATAAATTCGTCAGGAGGACTTCCGAGCCTGATCATAAAACCCAGGTCATCGTCCTCTTTGGACTCGGAACTTTCTTCTCCAAAGATTGACTTAAGGCCCACGAGTCAAGATCACTTACACTCATACTTACACTCACACTTACACTTGCACTCACACTCAAACCACCTTTCCACTATCTCTGCCCTCTCCATATACCTCTAGCCTTGAAGGGCATCTCTTCCACTATGGCTGGAACCATCCCACTTCGACCGACGTACCAAGGTTTCGTCCGGGATACCACTGATGCCCTGCTCATTTTTGAGGCATGTCTCTCTGGCACACTGCTTCATGTTCCTCGTCGACCACATGACCGTGAGCGTCAAGATCTCATCAAAAGCGGCAATATCTTCGTCTACGAAGAGCATGCTTCTGGAATCAAGCGCTGGACCGACAGCATCTCATGGAGCCCTAGCCGCATCCTGGGCAACTACCTCCTTTACCGCGAGCTTGAAAAGCCCTTCCCACCTGGAGAAAAGAAGCGTGCCAGAGGAAGGAACGGCAAGTCAACCACGCAATCTGGAGGCATCTCGAAAACACGACCACGGAACGCCGTTCCTTACCCACAAGGTCTGGAACATGGTAATGAGTACCCTTCTGTGCCCAGCGATGATGAGCGCCATCTGGTCGGTTCGCTCGTCGACTCGTACGACTTCAAGGAACAAGGACTGGTCAAGAAGACCATCAGCATCAGCTACCAAGGCGTACCTCACCACCTTGTTAGCTACTACAATGTGGAGGACGTCAAGGCAGGTCTTTTGTCTGGTCCTGCAGACGACCCCAGACTCCGCGGCGTTGTCCCTCGCAGCGAGCTCGTGAATGGCCAGAACTTCCGCGCCCCGATCGAGGAACAAATGGGCGGTGGTTACATCTCAAGCATGGTTGCTCCTATTGGGTACCCAACACTCCAACACCAGTCACAGATGCATCAACAACAGATGCACCAACAACAGATGCACCAACAACAGATTCACCATCAACAGATGCATCAGCAACAAGCACACCAGCCACAAGCACACCAACCACAAGCACACCAACCACAAGCACACCAGCCACAGATGCATACGCCACAGATGCACCAGCAACAAGTGCATCCGCAGCAAGTGCACCAGCAACAAGTGCAGTACTCACCACTGTCATACCAGTCACCGGCGTTGCACCCAGCACATGGTTACCAGCAGGGCTATCCTCAGAATGGGTGGTGGTCGGCCGCCTAGGGGAGAATAGAACACTCGGGACCTCGATCCTGAATGACAAAAAAGACCGAGGAGACTTAGGTAACTTAGAATAAGTTTAAAAATACCTCGACTGAGTTTATTTTGACACTCCATATCAATGCCGTGTCTCTAGATGTGAACTCTGCAATCCATTCATCCCGAGGCTCGTAACCCTAACAAATGAAACCCTGTATACCCAATAGCGCAGAATCGAATTAATTGTTGGGCAGCTCCATGGCAACTCGCTACCCGGAGTCTCATCCCTCTAGGCTGTCTGGCGCCACACACTCTTCATCATGTTGGTAGCGGGCCATGTAGCAATAGCTGCGACCATAAGCTCTGGCATCAGCCCTTCTTCAGTGCTCCAGTGAGCCGACAGAGGCATCCATGGAAGTGTACCAAGGACCTCAGCCTTCCAGTTATTCTTCCACTCCTCTTCATCGGCGACATCGTCGCTTGTCGCCCGGCGCGCACGTTCAACCAGTAAACGGACGAGCTCGAGGGCGACCCACGCGCACCATGAGCGAGCAGCCATGATACCTAGCTTGGCGCTCGTTTTTGGCGACAGGTTGGTAGCGCCCTTACAGGTCAACCAGCAAGCACCTTCGCCGACGTTGTAGACCAAGTTACAAATGATCTGTACAGTCATGAAAGCAGTGTTGACCCGGTTCGGGGCAGGCACCTTTGCGCCATTCGCGTCGAGTTTTTGACCACGTAGACGAAGGATCAGATCCTTAGCCTCGAGATATGTGCCGATTATACCCCACATACGGTTCATAGTGCGCCACTCACCCAACATGTTGGTGAAGCCCTGGATGTACTTGGACAGACTGAGGGCTAGAGTAGCAAGAGGCGGCGCAGTCGCGGTAGAGAGGACGACTGAGGTCGAGGGCGGAAGCTTGAAAGCCATCTCGACGACGTTGCGAGCGGAGTGACGAAGAGTAGTCCGACCCAGGATGTTGAGAATAGCACCGATCAAGCGAGCGGTATAAGTTGTGAAGAGGAGGACAGTATCTGTGCCTCGTCGCGTCTGAATGACGCGGTTGAGATGTTCGACGAAGTCATCTATGGCAGATGGCGACTGGAGGAGTCGCGCGAGAGGACTAGATTTTTGTGCGACATTTTTGTTTTTGTTGTTGATGTTGATGTTGGAGTTGGAGTTAGAGTTGGAGTTGAGGCTCTTTTCGATGGGCTCGGCCGGAGGTGCATCGGCGACGACGGGCTCCGCTGAGGGAATGACGATGGCCTCGGCGGGGGACTCAACTACAGCTGTTTCTGTTTCTGTCATGGCGGTGGGTGATTAGGGAGGGAGAAGCTCACGGTGAGCATCGAGAGGAGTAAAAGAGAATAGAATAAAAAAGTAACTAGTAGTTAAAAAATAACGGAAGACAAAAAACTTGGCAACTGGAGGTCAACGTATGAAGAACAAAGCATGCATGCATGGCCTTACCTAGGTTATTAGCGGTCTCAGGGACGACGTGGGGACATGAATTTTTATCAATCAGTACATCTCCCGTGTACCTTTATTCTCTAGGTATTTCGCTGTGTTGACCGAGGCCGCAGGTGAAAACTCCGTAATCCTGAAAGGACCCGTGCCTCGGTAGTGGAGTTGAGTGAATGTGATTCGTGCGTAGGCCCGAGATATTTTGCTCGGTACAAGGATGATGAAGCAAAGGGCAGAACTCAACGCTCGTTCGCTTACATACTGCTTATTTTGTGATAAACTTGGGCTGTTGTACCCGATGTTTTTTTTTTAAGTATATGTGTTAGAGTCTTGCCGATATCTTGCTATACTGTTGAGCCTTGGATGGTTACCAGCACGGCTCATCGATGAACCCCGGCGGAACCTCCCGGATATGTGGAATGTCCAGATTAGGCAATTTTCTCCTGAAGGTTACCTTTGTGACCAAAATGAGGCATTACGACATACTTCTTTGTTGAGAGTTATTCAACTGGAATAACATGGAACAACATAGACTAAAGTAATATTTGTCGGGTCTGTTTCCGAGTAAAACACAGGCAATGCAATCTTGAGAAAACGAGAGCTACGGGTCAGGAACCGAGCCAAACTAGGTACGGATAACACTGCGTGATTGCGTCAGACCGATAATAACTTACAATCATGGATGTTATATTCTCAGATCCCAAGACTTTTCATCCTGTAATAAGTTGATGACCTGGTCGCCCAAGGTAAACATACATAGGGACTTCATGTATTGATGACAATCGGCGGTCTACGAGTAACGTGACCTCGTGTCCAACCCGTGTGACAGAACATGGACATTCGCGTCCACTCTTTCTTCCTCCATCGCGTTGCTGCCTTGAGTTTACGAGAATCAAATGCTTCACTTTACCTGAACTCGGTATCGCTTCAGAGCCCACGTGGGCTTGAACTTTTCAGCTGAAGTCCTTATTCAGCCAAAGCTGAGCTGAACGAGGTTAGCGGACGCTGGTGCCTTATTGGCTTGGCAAGGGTCGATATTCTGCCTCTCTTTGACAACACATCTCAGTCTATATAAGGCCATGTTCAGATCTTTCACTCGGACTGTAACGACATCCATCGCCGCGCGCTTCACAAGAAGCAAAATGGCAACGCCTCACGAAATCAACCTTCCTGGCTTCGGCCTTCCTGTCAGCCACGTTGGTGCTGGTGCTCATTTCCCAGTTGTCCTTGGTACGGAAGAAAGAGAGGAAGAAGGAGACTGGAGAGCCACTACTTTGACAATCCGAGAAGTCTGTATGCTCAAAGTCATCGAGGACCTCACAAATAAGCCCGAGTGGTGGATCAAAGTCAATGATGATGAGATTGCTGCCAAGTGGAAGAAGGAGGCTATGGAGATGCCATGGGGAGAGTATCGGGTTTTCGGTGATTTCACTCAGGCCATGGCCGATGCTGTGAGTGACATCTCTCAGCCAACAACAAATGTCTCGCTAAACCAGGACAGTGTATCAAGGAATTGCGCAAAAAAGCAGATATCTATCAGAAGACCGGCCTCATTCCGGTCATGGATTACGCTTCTGCAGCTATCAAATCAGACAACTTGGTCCCTAAAGACCTCCGAGATGCTCTCATAGCTGCCGTTTACCCTTTGGAAAATGTCCCCGAAGGACACAAGGACTGGCATCCTGGCAGTGATGGCAAGGTACTTGACATCGTCCACCCTTCGCTGTGGCCACTTGTCTATGGGCGATCTCTCATCCTCCCCGATAAGCGCATTAATCTCGAAGAAGCGTTGTCGCATTGCGGGAAAGGCGTCGTTGTCCCTGTCCACAACAGTAGTGTCAGCAAGTGGCATCCTAGTGCCTTTTCTAAACGCTTCCAGTGGCTCCCTTGCGAAGTTGACCTGACTGGCGGGCATCCTCGCATCGACAGCTACATCAACAACGTGCACCCGGCCAAACATGCCGAGCTCTATCCTGTCATTGAGAAATTTATCGAGAAGTCGCTTCCGGCTTGGGATATCATCTATCGATGGCATAACGACTTCGAAGTCCAACGTGTCTTCACGAACAATGTTCGACCAGATTGCAAAGTTCCCGAGATCTGCGGGGATGACTGGTGCTCAGCCCAAAATCGGCCACTGGATGACGATGAGGAGCCTCGTAGAGAAGAAGAAGACTATGAAGATGATTACGAGGAATCCGATCGCAACAAACGCGACGAGGAATGGTTCAGGGAGACACATGTTCCAGAACTTCCGGACCCTAAGACTGAACTGGAAGAGCTCGTCAAGATCAACCCTAGCGACGTAAAGACATCTGGTTTCTTTGGCAACGCTTCTCGTGTGCAGGTTATTGTTAAGCTTGCTAACATCCACCTCACCCCCGAGAAGCCAACCTACGATGGTGGCTCATGGCATATCGAAGGCCAATTGAATGAGCACATATGCGCGACCGCACTCTACTACTATGACTGCGACAACATCACCGATTCTCGCCTTGATTTCCGCACAGTTGCCAACAGAGAAGAACAAACTATGGAGTTGAGTTACGAGCAGGGCGATTTCGACAGCATCGAACGAGTTTTCGCGATTGATCCCGGTGCAGACGTAGTCCAGGACATCGGCAGCGTTCTCACACGCCAGGACAGAATGCTCTTCTTCCCCAACGTGTACCAGCATCACGTCAGCCCCTTTGAGCTGGTTGATAAGTCTCGCCCCGGCCACCGCAAGATTCTAGCTCTTTTCTTGGTCGACCCTGAGATTCCTATCATTTCAACTGCCAATGTTCCTCCCCAGCAGCGCGATTGGTGGGCGGAGGGGTTACTCCAGAATGATCGCTTCAATAACTTACCCCCTGAACTGACACGGATGGTGGTGGATAACTTGGACTTCCCTATTGATCTGGAGGATGCTAAGAAGATCCGAGGGGAACTCATGGCGGAAAGGACTGGTATGCAGGGTACTCTTAACACCAACCTCAAGAATCTTGAGTGGAATTTCTGCGAGCACTAAGCCGAGAGTCAGCTGTATGAACGGCCTGTTCTAGGGTTTATGTTATCATGGGCTTGTGATATTTTAGACAAAGTTGTGCACTTGATGAAACCTCAGCTTTCTAGCTTCTTTGAACGTGGAATATCCAATCTGTGTCTCCCTTGGTATTATAATATTTGTAGAGGGTAAGGAGCCATTGCCCTTGGCTAACTCCAAGAAGTGAGAACATGCTGAATTTTGGACTTGAGTCTCTGGCCAGGCCAAGAGTATGAAACACATCTCGCATAGCCGTGTGTCGAATGTTTTGACCACCAGTAATAGCCATGCTAAGAGGCGATGTAATAGTGTTGTCCAAGTGTCCTTTCCTTCAGGCGGAGTTGGCCTCGAGTCTATCTAAGCACAGTATATGTGAAAGCTATCTATGCAAGATATGATGGAGAAGACTACATTGATCAGTAGGTTATTATGGAAGATCAACCCTGATTCATTAGTGTGCTATACCACCAGTCATTCGCTCAGATATGTTCATAGGTCAGTGAGTGGTTTAAGTCAGCTGCCAAGCACCAAGCCGCGACTAGAATTGTTGGTGCCGATCTGTGTATGTTCCATGAGCTTATCTAATCCTAAATCATGTCTTTATTTTATTCTTGATTGAGGTTTACCAGTTGCAAATCGACCTCGAACCATGAGCAATCATTGTCAAGGCACATAAGGATAGCGTCAGTATAACCGTGGCTTTCTCCAGTGCATGGTTTCCAGAAGCAAATTGCTCAATGCAATACCTAACAGCGAACGAATACTCCTGATTCATTATTGTATTCCTTCCACGTCAGGGCCGTAAGAAATTAGACTGACGAGCGGATATGCCAAGCAGAAATCTACAAGGTTGATCCTCCACCTGCGCAGGATCAGACCAGAACCGGTAAGTTTGATGGTAGCTGACCCCTGAACGACACTGAAACAAGTCAGGCTTTTTACACGGAAAGCGGGAAAGTCACGATATGGTGTGAAGGATTTAATAGGTTCCTGTCTGGGTTTGAAGGATTAAACGAAGGTCTTGGCTGAATGGATCTGAGGTGGAAATCAGGGTTGAGCGTTGCATCGCTTTGTGTGTCAAGGCGCAGTTATACTTGTATATACATAAGATCTCCTGAATTTCTCTTGATGAGAGTTCTCTCGATTTTGGCTCTTTTGGCTCTGCTCTTTCTTTTTTAGTATGCTGCTGTTGGCATCATCCTAACACAGTTGTATATCCTCTCACAACCTACAATCGTTGCTCTTGAGATCGACAAAGGCTACCAGATATCCAGCCTTGGCTCGTCAGTTCAAATAATTCAACAACTTACTGCTTCGCAATATACAAACTCAGGATACTCTGTGCGGCATCATCATGGGCATCCTCGACGATCTTTTTCCCAGGCCTACGGCTCCTCCAGCTACGAGAACACTCAAACGACGAGCAGTAACTCGTAGTCAAACAACAACAGAAGAGATTACCATCACAATCGCCCCAGATAACACTTGCGGATACATCTCAGAACGACTTGGGGCCAGCAGAGCGTGTTCACTTAACGACTGGTGCTACTTCTTCCCACCCGTGCCAGCCCAATCATTCACAAACGGCGGTGTTTTATGCTGTGGAGAGACATCTTGTCAGTACCACGCTACATGCGTAAACTCGGAGGAGTACTTTGTGTCGAGTAAATGCGATGGTGGTTGCGAGGTTGACAACTACACTCTGAAATGGTAACTCACCCCCTTCTTATCATATATCATCGGACACAGGTACTCAAGAAGGCTATAGTACAGACTCAGCATCTCCTTACTGTAACACTGTATCATGGGAGGGAAGTACATTCGATTATTGGTGCAACGACCTCGACATCTCTACAGCACAAAGCGCCGCTCTTACCTACAAGGGCCAAACATCGCGAGAATTCGGCACCATCAATGAGCGAGACTATAGCTCTCTGCTGTCTCAAATGACCGAGGCACAAACTGAAGGAAGTGTCAATGCCGAAGCGACAGGAACAGCAACATCTCAATCTACTGCCACTGAGACAAACAGAGATAGTGGCAGCTCAGGAACAGCAGTAGGTGCAATTGCTGGAGGAACAGTGGGCGGTCTGGTAGCACTCGCTGTCGTCGGGGTGGGAGTGTTTTTATTCCTCCGTCGAAGGAAGAAGAGCAAAGCTTCAAATTCATCAAACTACCAACAAGCACCTGGAGGTGACAGACCGGGATGGAACCAGCAACAGCAACATGGCGGTTACTACTACGATCCAAATTCACCGTCCACGGGTTGTAATGGAAGCCCAAATAGTCATTATGGATATCAACAAGCTGGAGGCTATCCTGCTGAGCATCAAGAGCCTGCTATTCATGAAGCTGGTGGTGAGGCCGTAGGGAGCATCCCTCAAGAGCTTCCGGGTAGTGGACCTGGGGAAAAGAAGCCTGTAGAGCTTGCTTGAGCGTTGGAGAGGCTTGAGTTTTGTACCTAGCATATACTGAGACGATTCAGTCCCTATATCTTAATCTTCTTCATTATCTCGACGTCATGAAAATACGTTACAAACAGATCCACTATCAGGGCTGAGTGAAACCACAGCCTTGATACTGGTTGCGGAACAATAGGAAACAAGTAGAGACGATTATATCATAGATACTCCATAATACCTAATTAGTTTCATTTTCTTCTTCTTGTCATGAGAAGAGTGGATTTGACGTTGAACAATTATATATTTTTTGGTGATGTTGATTTAGATGCCCCATTTCTATGCCAACTACGTCATGGCCTGACCAAACTTTATTACTTGGGCGGTCGTTCACTCGCTAGTTAGCAGGCGACCTCATGCCTAAACCAAACCAAACCAAACCAAACCAAACCAACCATCTTCAAGCTTAACCCGACTCAATCAATTCATGCAAATACTATAACTCGCCTACATCAATCATTTTAGCGGACCCTGCTACATCGGACATCATATTCATATCGAATCAAATCATGTCCTCTAAATGGACCTTCAAGGCCCAGCCTGGCATCTTTGTTGAACTCGCTGACATTGCCCATCAATATCCTGGAGAAAAAGTCACGACGCAACCAAACCTGGGCCTCATCCCAGATCAGAAATATCCTTCTGATGACCCAGATACACCCGATCAGAGGGACTGGGCCCGTCTTGCGGCTTATGTGAGATGGCTCAACGAGAATAGCTCTGGCAATGTCTCATACAAAGTCTTGTATCTCACACGACATGGCCTTGGGGTACACAATAAGATGCACGCCCAAGTAGGCTCCGAAGCGTGGAATGTATGTTTTGTCCTCTGAGCCAATACCAATACTGCTCCATTTACTAACATGAGCAGACAAGAGTGTCATTCCAAAATGGGGACGGTAAAGAAACCTGGTTTGACGCCTTTCTCACCGAAGTCGGTGAAAAGCAAGCTCAAGATCTCTACTCCTTCTGGACCGATCTCATCAAAAAGCAAGGCGCACCACATCCCAAAATCTTCTACACAAGTCCTCTAGCGAGATGTCTTCAGACAACAGACATCGTCTTCTCACCACTCATGGCCTCACAATCACCGCCCCAACAACCCATCGTCAAAGAACTCCTCAGAGAGCGCATCACCCGCCACACCTGCGACTACAGGAGGGATCGCACATGGATAGCCGAAAACTATCCCAGCTACAAGATCGAAGATGGGTTCGAGGAGGAGGACCAGTTCACCAACAGAGTTGAGCCTGAGACTGATGAGGAGCATGTTGTGAGGAAACAGAGGGCTTTGGAGGATATCTTCAATGAGACTACGAAAGACGATGACTTTATATCGTTGACGGTCCATTCGTACGCGATTCGGGCGATTCAGGCCGCCGTGGGAAGTGGTGTTTGTAGGACACGTGAAGGGACAAGTATCGCGATACTTGTCAGGGGCGAGAAGGACGGAGATGCAGACGGTCCAGAGCTGGACATGAATAACTATGTGTCTGCAGATCCTGCGGGCGTGAGCTCGTTGAGAAGATTCTCTATGTAATGGACGTCAAGAACAGATGGATTAGGTACATGGAAACCGCTAGATCAAAGACATGATGTTACGACAATGAGCACTAGGTTAATGGTCAAGACGGGGGAGTTCTGCTCCAATATCCAGATGATCATTGGGAGGCCTTATTCATCGCTTTCAATGAACAGGGCTCTCGAACGAACGCCGACGGTCAGTCCATCGGTCCAAATCTCGGCAGCATAGTCGAATATTTCGAAGAAAACCCAATTATAGGAATACGTGATGACGAATATCCGTCCGTCTGTATCACCACCCTGCTCTATCCAGATTATAGGTGCAAGGCCTTTTATACCGACGGCAAAGCAGTGTGTTATCTTGCCATTTCCGACATAACAAAGCGAGAAGTAGTTGATCTTGCAGGGTGGGAAATATCCTCTAGCGAGTGGCCGGAAGTCCACACTATCGGGGGTGTACAGCTTTTGTCAAGTGGGGGCCGATGCAGCTTTGGACTTTCGCCGAGATGTTTTCCAGGCCGTTCGGACACTATATATCTGCGAAACCGAGAGAACGAGGTAGTTGACCTGGTGCACTATTACAGAAATTGGAAGCAACAGTCAGGAAAACTTTTTTACTTTGGGCGGAGTCGTGATTGGACTCCAGATAAGCGAGTTCAGGACGTAAAGAAAAGATGATAGATGCATGTCTTCATGAAAGAACTGCTCAGTTACCTCTGAGTTCTGGGAACCTGTAGCAACTTTGGCAATGCGGAATAGTTACTAATAAGCGAGTTTTCACAGTGGGGGGCGATAATATAATGTCAGTTGCTCCCGTGTCTGCTTGGAACAATGCCCTCAATCTTCCTACCAGCAAGTTTATGAGATCCTGAAGTCAAAAAATTAAAAATTAAAAGGGCCACGCGAATGGCAATAGCTGCTATGATGAAGTCCTGTCTCCCTTGCGCTGTCTCATGAACCCAAAACGCCCGTCTTCGACTCACTATTTATGCGTAACAACATATTATTGCCGAGTGGCCATTATTAGATAGAAGATATGCTGTCGTGCAACATTTACCACCACTTGAATGTGCTGGTCCATGTCTTCCAAGGACCGCGCCTGGAGGGAATCTTGTTCTCAGGGACAGAGATCTCGTAACCATCGTCGACATCCTTGGAGACACTCTTGGAGGTCCACGAGTTATCATCGGTCTGGAGCCACTTGTTGAATCGGCCCTTGTCCTTGTGGCGGTAGGACTCGACGGGTTGAGGGAGGACCTTTGTGCACTCGGTGAGGCTGTTGATATTGTTGACACCCAAGAGACTGAGACGGATATAGGCACGGGCATAATCCTGGGAAACCGTCAGTACATGTTTCACGATTAACTTTTTGAATTGGTACATACCACATTCCAGGCGGCTTGGCCAGTGCTGCCGCTGGCAAAGGCCTCGAAGGCAGGCTGGGTCAGAGGATGGTTGGCGAGGGCCACATCACTAGGGAACTTGTAGACTCGCTTGGGGGCGTTCTGATCAATGGTTTGCTGGTAGAAGAGAATATCCCAGACACCAGGGGTGCTGTCCTGGGGATCACCATCACGATCAATGTTGGTGTGATGCTGCTGAGAGGTTGTGTGTGCGCCGATGAGGGCAACAAGGTCGTCGGGGCCAATGGTCTTGTCCTTGAAGAGGTTGATCAGAGTAAGAGCATCGGATTTAACGTTAGGCAGAAGACCGCCGAGGTTGGCCTTGGTGCTATCCTTGCGTCCAACAAAAGAGCGGACACGGGGACCGAGAGGGCAGGTAACGGCAGCAATGTTGGAGCCCATTTGGATCAGATCAGCCATGGTGACCTGGGTGAAACCATATTGTGTGTGGTACTTGTCGTAGATGGTCTGGTAGTACTCGCCAATCTGCTGAAGACCCAAGTTCTCGCCACGGGTGAGCTCGTCGGACAGAATGATGGAGCCATCAGCACCGCCGCCTTGGGAGGCGGTCTTCAGAGACCAGGTGCCGGCATCGTGGAAGCCAATGCGAACAGCATATCGAGCCCATCGTGTGCAACGACCAGCCTCTCCCCTGAACTGGTCCTCGAGTTCGTTGGAGATGTACTGCCAGACACAGCAGGTATCACGCTTACAGCGTTGAGAGTTCATGGAAGGGCAGCCAAAGTAGCGCTCACGGCTGGTGGGGTTGCCATTGCCTTGAAGGATCTTCTTGATGTCACTGCCGACCGAAGTGAGTGACTTGTCGCTCAGGGTGGCAAGGTCGCCGATGAGGGAGTGGGCATCAAAGCTGTCTCCGGACCAGCCACTGCCACTGCTGCTGCCGCCGCCGCTACTACCTCCGTTGCTCTGGCCGGGCCATGAGCTAGAGCCCCCTCCATTTCCACTGCTCTGTCCAGGCCAGGAGCTTGAACCGCCACTGTTGGTCTGTCCAGGCCAAGAACTGGAACTACCTCCGTTGCCGTTGCTTTGGCCGGGCCACGAGCTTGAACCTCCGCTGTTGCCTTGTCCTGGCCACTTGTTTCCACCCCATCCACTGCCCCAGCTACGAGCAGCAATTCGTTCGATCTCCTTGATGGTCTCTCCCATGCCAGGGTGAGCAGCAGCCTCTGGGATAGGCGCAGCAGCCAGAGCAGCTGCAATGAGGACGGTAAACTTCATAGTTGCGATGAAAGATAGTTCGATGGTGGTGAGAAATATTAATGAGTGAATCAAGTTTGTATAAAAGAGTGAATAGTGCTTCTAGCGAGTGTATGAGAAGCAGATTAAGAACGAGTGTGCAATGAAAAGAATGACTGGAGAAAAGAACGTAGAGTGACTGTGGCTCACCTCTTACTGAAGTCAGTAGACAGGAGAGGAGCATCATGTATATATATACCAGAGGCCACTGCAGTCTCCATTGCCTCTATCAACTCGCTTTGACCAGACGCCGAGAACTCTCGGCACGATAATTCCAGGCCCCTGGTCTCCCCATAGTGCTTTCTTTCTAGCTCTATGACTATGAAGGGCTCGAATCAAGAAACAAAAACCAACAAAAGACGCTTAAATAAACCCTGCAGTTCATCAACGGGACGGCATGTGTCTAGAACTCCTCAATATGGGGTCCCCTGTAGATATGACCGTCAGTGCGTAGTAATTGCTCACACACCACTCGACGTTGTAATCTCTTCCCGTCGAGGAGCTGACCTGTTCCTTTTCTCTGCTTCTAATTAGAGAAAGGATCTTTACAGCTTCAGTAGTGTCGATGCCGCGGTCGTATGTGGATCCTCGTTTGCGTGGAGAGCGTTGAGGCGTTGACGCATGACGCCTCGTCCCATTAAACAACGGTCTAAAAGGTTTCACGTCGGCTGAACGACTTGGGTTTTTGCGAGACTATCGGAAACCGGATGGGCCAAATCTCTTGGTAGCGGACTTAGGACGGATGAGCCCGAGATTGTATGTCACCAAATGGGCTTGGTAGTATAATGCCACGCTCACCTGTCAGATGCAGAGAACGTTGGCCATTGTGACGAGAGCTTTACACCAAAGTTTCAACTTGTTGTTCTCTCACCGTTGAATCCAACGTTTGGCTCGTGGATGTAGGCATGATTCGTGGGTTGCAGTAGTTCCAGGGGTACATGCAGCTGCGTGTAAGATGATACGCCCGTGCGTATCCACATACATGTCGATCACCAACAAACAAACATGCTCTGCCTCCTTTTGGTGGTTACCCGAGCGAGCACAGCACAGCACAGCACAACCACAAGATCAGGCGGGAGAAGCTTCCAGCTGAGAATCACACTGTTCTCATTGGATATGCAAGGTTAACCGAGGCTAGGCAAAGGCAAGCGCCTCGCGCCAAGTCTCGAATTGCGGTGGATCGAAAAACATGATGGAAATTATCCTTGTTGGGGTGGATACGAACAAATCCGATGAAGCGGCGCGAGCGGGCGAGAATCTGCTTGGATCGAACGGTAGAGCTTCTCTATCTCTTGGCAGTTTCGAAATATTAAAGAGTCTTGATTGTTTGAAGGAATGGTTATGGAATATTGTTGAAAGTTGACTTGTTGAGGTAGATAGGAGACTGTCTTGAGATTGTTAGGTCAGCCATCATCACATGACTCAACAGACAGCACATGGCTTGTATCTTATTATGCTTAATTGACAAGACTATTTACTCTAGATATTAATCAATAGTAAGACAAAGGTTATTCTTAATCTAAACAATACCATAATTAAACAATTACGCTTCACAATTTTCGGGCTTCACTCACCACAACTGACGAGACACAGTAAAAAGGAGATGTCCAATCAAGATGCTGTGAAAAGTAATAGCAATTCGGAAATTTACCCCTGGCGCTAAAACGCAGTTGTGGCATCCAAACCAAACGAGCTCTTCCTTTGTTGGAATAGTTCATCCACCGTAGATAAACGGTGAGTTGAGCTGTGCCATGGCATGCAGAGCTGAAGAATTCAACCTTGCAGCGGAATCTGAAACAAATAGATCCATGTTACTTCTCCAGATGCAACTCTTGTACCAAACAGATCATATCTCACTTGCCTCGTTCGGACCTTTTGTCTAACACAAGTTGGTTAAATATAGATACTGTGTCTGATGCTGGATGGAGGTTATATCATCGCCAACGTTGCATGCGGCTGCAGATACTCAATACAAGGAGAATAAGGATGTACTACGTCAAAGGTTTGTTGCGACAACGCTTCACGTCCGCGCAACAGAGCCTATCTCCAATGCCAACCAGAGAACGCAAGGACATAATATTTATTTTAATACATTTTACACGCCAGCCTTGCTTAGAACAGTCTATCAGATGCTACGATTTGAAGCCTGGGCTGGCCTCGGGGGGCAAGAAAATAACGGATCTTGATATAGGGTATCAAAATAAACTCAGTCAAAGTTATCCCAAGCTTGGGCTATATTACCTAAGTCTTTTTTATTATTTAGGATCAAGGTCCTGAGTCTTCTTCCCTCCCCTAGGCTGGGAACTCGAGTGCGCATGTCAGACGTATGGCAGAGCGGGATTCCCTACCCTGTAGCCAGCAACTTTAGCAAGCCCCCGAGGGAACGGCCCTGAAGAGTTATCGACACCTATGTTTGGAAACGGTATTAGGAACGTCTATACAGTAGCCATCGGGCTTCTGTAAGCCAATCACTTCAACCCGACGCAAATATCGGGCAATCTTGGAATCACGTACGTTGGTCATAGCTGTTACGAGACAGCTTCCCGACATTATATCCACAAGAGTCCTG